AAACAACATTCTTATCAATGGAGAAAAGATTGAAGTTGTCAAGGACTTCATTCTCCTTGAATCAACCATCAACACTCATGGAAGCAGCAGTCAAGAGATCAGACGACGTATTGCATTGGGCAAATCTGCTGCACAGGAACTTTTGAAAGTGTTGATGAGCAAAGATGTCAGTTTGAGGACTAAGGTGCGCCTGACCCAAGCCATGGTATTTTAAATAACCTCATACACATGTGAAAGCTGGACAGTGAATAAGGAAGAATGTAGAAGTGATGCATTTGAGTTATGGTGTTGGAGGAGAATACTGAAAGTGCCATGGGCTGCCCGTAGAATCAACAGATCTGTGTTGGAAGAAGTGTAGCCAGAATGCTCCTTGGAAGCCAGGATGGCCAAACTTCATCTCTCAGACTTCAGACATATTGTCAGGAGGGACCAGTTGCTACAGGGCATGTGAGATGGGATTTTCTCTTTCCTTTGCCCACTTCTAACATTACGAAGCCACTTATGTGCTACATAAGTCTTAGGTGTGGTACTGTAGTGTAAGCACTGAACTTCTAACCGCAAGGCTGGTGGTTCAAACCCACTCTCTGCTCCTCAGAAACCCTATACAGAGTCCTTATGAGATGGAACTGACTTGAGGGCATTTAACAACTCTGAGGTGAGTTTTCTCATTCCACCTCAAGTTCTTAGAAAGATGGAACATATTTAATTACAGCAAAGCAGTGGGACATTTTTCACCCTGGCATCAAAGAACCTAACTGGAAGTCTTAGCAACTGCAGAGGGGAAAGGCAGCATGCTGTGAGGAGGGGAGGTTTGGGGGATGGTGATGTTGGTGGTGGTGCTGTTGCATTTGATTCCGATTCATCGTCACCCGGAGGACTGAGTACAATTGCCTCCCTGTGAATCTTCCCAGAAGCAGACAGCCACATCTTTCTCCCTTGGAGCAGCTGGCAGGTTCAGACCACTGACCTCTCAGGTAGTGACCGTGTGCTTAACCACTGTGCCCCCAGGCCTCAGTGATGGCCACAGATAGACAGATGGACAGTGGAAGGAGAAGGAAGAAGCAGCCCATGCCCAGCGGTACAACATGACGTTCCTCAGAGAAGGTGGTTCCCAGCTGTACACGGGGTCAGGCCTTCCACTGCAGGTGTTTCTTCTCTCAGCTTGCAACACCCAGGGGCCTCACATAAACATCAATCATTTATGCAAAATATTAAAAAAATATATGAATGGACAAATAATAGCTCTCTAGCAGTCCATGGTGGTGCAAACAGTTTGCACTTGGAGACCAGACTGTCAATGGCAGTTGGAACCCATTTGGAGGTGCCTAGGAATAAAGTCCTGGCAATCTGCTTCCAAAAGGTCCCAGCTGTGAAAACCCTACAGTGCGCAGGCCTGCAGTGCACACACGGGGTTGCCATGAGTCAGGAGAAGCCCTACAGCCACCGGGTCAGGTGAGATGGCTAGCTCATTCATCTTTTCAATTTGTATTAAGTACCCAGGGCAGACCTATGACTGACTTCACTTACAACGTGAAAGATCTTGTTTTGGAAAGCACTCTTTGAAACAAAAAAAATATAAGTTTCTTCCGACTGGATCTCTAGCATCATAAAGGAGGGAGGAAAATAGGAGCAAAAAGAACAACCCAATCCAAGGCCCCACCCCCAGTCCCCACAGTGAAAATCGGGCTTGTTTCCAGAGAGAGGTGAAGAAAGCTGAGACACATTCCTGAACAGCACACAAGAAGCCAAACATTACAGGAAGATGTCGCAGAAAACCCCCGTGAGATGGCTGACACTAAAGGGGTTCCATCACAAGCACTTACGCTGCATAAACGAACCTCATCATCCAGCCACCTTTATACTAGACACTAATCCCTTCATTAGCACCAAACAGCAGACTTGTCACATGACACGGGAGTCACAGGGCAGCAAGCAGAACGCCGATCTTTTGAAAGCAAACGATAATAAACAAAACCAGAAAGATGCTGGAGGAGTCCACGGTATGTCATTCTGAAACAGACAGTGATCACTCCGGAGTGGCCAGAGGCTCGGGGAGGGAAGCCATCGGTAAACACACTGTGCACCTGCTAGCGATGGACAGGGAACACTGGGGCTTCACTGTGCTTACTCGATCATTGGTGGTGAGCCGTGTCACATGCACTGCAGGTTGGTGGGAAGGCAAGATTGAACCAGCAGCACATCACCCACTCACTGGCTCACAGAGCCTGGGGTGCTTTGAGGACAGCCAAACAAAAGAGTAGGATGCTGTCTGTCATAGTGGGCATGTGGCATGATGCATTTGTCAATGCCCCCAGGACTCCTGGTGTGGCACTGTAGGAACAGCACTGGACTGCCAACCACAAGGTCAGCAGTTCAAACCCACCAGGTAGGTGCTCCATGGAAACCTTATGCAGGGTCGCTGTGACCAAGGGAACCAGCTTGATGGCATTTAACAACCACAGGAGTGTGGAATACAGAGGGGAACCTACCGGAATCATGAACTTCAGTGAATAGCAAAGCGTAATAACATATCAACATTGTCACAAAAGTGCACAGTGCGATTCAGTAACACAGTGTAACGATGTTACTTACCAATATTAGTTCATCAGTTGTCACAGATGTACCGCAAGAGCCCAGGACGTTAACAGGAGAAAAGACATAAAGGGGCTGAGGGTGTGTGTACTTCCTGTACATTTTTTCTGTAAACTAAATCTTTAAACCTTACAACAAAAAGATCCCCTCAGGTCTTCTTAAAACCCAACAATGTTGGGTAGGTACATGCCCGAGTCGGATCTGACTCAGTGGCTGTGCGAACAGCCCAAGAAAACACACCCTGGTCCTTCGTCACCCTCACTGTCGTTGCTGTCAGAGCTCACTGCTGCAGCCGTGGTGTCAATCTGTCCTGGGGAGGGTCTTCATCTCTTGTTTGTTGACCTCCTGCTTTACCAAGTGGGATGTCCTTCTCCAGGGCCTGCTCCCTCCTAATGACATGCCCAAAGTACGTCAGACAAAGTTCTGGCTTCTAAGGAGCGTTCAGGCTGGACACTCACCTCTCGGCAGAGACAGGCAGAGCTGGGGATGAGGAGGGGGCTTTAATCAAGGAGGGGGGCTCCGGAAGGATTTCTCAAGTTCCATCAGGGAATCCACCATCTATCTCTTCTGTGGAGTCTCCTCCTCCAGGCTTCGGGTTAAAGAGAACCACTTTGCCCCAGATCTCTGTTCAGACTGCCCGGCTCAGAGCCACCCTCTCCTCCTCATCCACTTTCCTCACTGCACTGCCGCGTGTGGTGACGTCTTTATGAGGAGGGTTCCTGTCTGACTCTGGCTACTCTTGAGGTTGGGCCTCATAATCTGGAAGCGTAACACCCAGGGAGCACCAAAACTGAGGCGCACCATAACTAAATGCTTGCCAGGCTCTGTCCCTCCCAGGAACCTCATTTTGTTCCAAAATGGACTCTCACCCCTTTCTATGTATACTCCTCAAGATCACACATCAAACATTTAAACCTTTTTAAAAGACTATGTGCTTCAAGCAGAATGTGGGACCCTAACCAGAGAAGCAGTCACACCAGAGATGGAGGCAGAGATGAGGACATGGAGAGGAAGCAGCTGAGGACTCTAGACTCATGGAAAGAGAGGGAATGGGTGCTGGCAGCCAGGAGGCAGGCTTGGTGGTTTAAATGATTATAGATTCCTGAGTGGTTTGTGTACATCCAAAAAAACCCTAGAGACGCAAATAGTGCTGAATGATGATGCATGGAGGGGATTGTAATCACTGCAATGAAACAAAGAGTGTAAAACTGATGTTCTCCCATATAAACCATTACTCAATTCACAATTGTTGTTAAGTGCCGTAGAGTCGGTTCCGACCCATAGCGACCCTGTATGGGGTTTCCGAGGGGCAGCTGGTGAGCTTGAACTGCCGACCTTGTAGTTCAAACTACTTTGCAGTCTGGCGCATTAACCCACAGCACCACACCACAACAAAAACATTAAAAAAAAAAAAGATGTGTGCTTAAGAAAAAGCAGTTGTACGTTTGCTGGAAAATGGGGTGTGGGAAGACATCAGGAACCCGCCCTCCCGTCTACAAATCAGTGCAAGGATGAGATCGTTGGTAAGGACATGCTCTGTTGTCCCCGAGAACTACCTAAGTCCCACGATACCCTCTAGACCCTCACTCTCAGCCTCAACACGGACACCCCACATGTACAAGGATGCCTTTGTGGGGAGCCTGTGGACAGAGAGGGCTGGGATGGGAGGGAGCTGAGGGCAGAATGCCTTTGTGGAGCCTCCTCCTGGGCTGGAGTCACAGCATGGGCATCCTGGAAGGAGACTCACCGTCCTGGAAGACCCTCTCGACGTTCAGCCCGTACGTGGCACACGTCTCGTAGTAGGTGCAGCGCTTCAGGTCGTTGGAGAGCTTCCGCGCCCGAGCGTCGTCAATGATGCGCGGGTTTGTGGAGCTGATTGCGTCTGAAACACACACACACACATACAGCAAGCCTCTCTCACCAACCCCTCGACTTATGATCCCAAGGGTCTTCACTCTGTGCCTTTCTAGATGTTGGCTCTTCCAAACAGAGCTCACCCCCAAAGCACAGTCTTAGATACCAGGTAAGCGGTTGGTTTGGGGGAATCAGTTTCTGAGATTCTAAAAGAAGAGTGTCTGAAAAGATGGGAAAATGTGGATCCCAAGGGAAGAGCTTTAGAAATAAAATAACCACCAATGGACACAGTCCCTGACGACAGCTTCCCTCTAAAGCACAGAGCCCCTGCTCCGCGAGCCTCATCTTGTTGCTGTATTCTTAAAGGTGGGCCATTCGGCGACTCCCCCATACGTGTCTGCTGATTTCCCATGAGGTCTTTGCTCTTGTTCTCGGTGCTTATTTAAAACCGATCTCTTGTGCAGAAGCCGTTGTAGAAGCCTCCCCATCCTCCCCGCCATTGCAAAACACCATCCATGCACCGTTTCAAGGAGCGAACTCGAGTGTGCCATCTGTCTACCTATCTATGGCGTGTGTTGTACTATGGTGACCTGTGTGCTGTTGGGAGTTATGTTACTCTTGGTGGGCATGTTTCAGCGGAGTGTCCAGGCTGTGAGAGACTAGGAAGAGAAGCCTGGCAACCAGTGCCTGAAAATTAGCTGTGGAAGCCTTATGGGTCACAACAGAACATGCCCGACTGGCTTGCTTTTAGAGAAAGCAAATCAGGGTCCCTTTCCGGAGGGGAAGGTCACACTGGGTGAAGGTGAGGGCCAATGAGTGTGCTTCCCTGAGATGACTGGAGAGAGGTGACGTGAAGACCAGGCAGTGTTTCGTTGTGTGACACGTGGCGCCACCGGAAGTCAGAGTCAATCTTATGGCAGCAAAGACAAGAATCGACAAGAATCAAGGACTTTTTATCAGAGCGCCTTACTTCCTCTTGTCCACTAGAGGGTGCAGTAAGCCTAAAGAATCTCTCCTAAAGGGTTTTAGGCTCCATAGGCCTCTCAGATCAGAAGTGTTTCAGTTATGACAGAGATTATGAATGAAATCTGTTGAAAAAGAAAAACTGGGGGCTGTCCAAGCTGCCCAGCCCTGATGTTTTACACGGAGTCAACTCGGAAAATGCTGTTCTTCTGTGTGGCTAGTTTCAGGATTTAGCTTGTCCAGCTGGATCCCAGCCACAGAGCCCGGTTCCTTTTGGCCTGAGCTTGAGTGGACTGTACGTTGGTGGTGGTGGTTGGTGGTGGGAGACCCCGTGTGTGGGAGTACAATTGCTCCATACGGTTTTCAAGGCTGTGACCTTCTGGTTAGTAGTGCAGCCCATAACTATTTACACCAACCAGGGACTCCAATTACAGGTGCTCCAGTGGCACACTGGGTCAAGCACTTGGTGACAAACACAAAGGTTAGTGAGCTGAACCCACCAGCATTCACAGGAGAAAGATGTGGCTATCTACTTCTGTAAAGCAGTCCAGTGTGTTCTGCTCTGCCCTGGAGGGTCTCCTATGAGCTGGAGTCTACACGATAGCAGTGGGTTTGGTCTGATTTGTGGTTAGTATTTTAGTTGCTTTAAAAATCCTGATTCATTTATTCTTTATCCATTCAACATGGGCTCTGGGCGATGGATGAAGAGGAAAAGAACAATTCAGGAATACAGAGATTCCAAAAAATGTAATTCCAAGAGCATCTGGTTTTAATATGACATTCAATAAGGGCAGGCCTGGTGGCATGGTGGTCAGGTGCAGTTTGTACCCACTCGCTGTTCCTCGGGAGAAAGATGCGGCACTCTGCCTCGGTATAGATGGTGGCCTCGGAAACCCTGTGGGGTTCCTCCGAGTTGGGATGAACCCAGTGACAGTGGGCAGGGTTGGGTTAGGGTCTCCTACTCTCTTAGGAGTGTGATGTATATAGTTCACATTCCTATTTGGAAGCATCTCTCATCAAGGCTTCCCTGGTGTAAAAGAATTAGGATTAACAGCGTCAGGACAAAAGCATGCAGGAATAAGACCATTTTGCTTGAATAATCATTTTGTAAGGTTTCCACTCTCCCCCATTTCTTGACAGTGCGTTTTTAAAGGCAATCTTTAAAGGTTTTTAAAAACCTTCATGTCACATTGTCACTGGGCCTGTGGATCCAGGGTGGCGAACAAGGACACTGTGTCCAATCCAAGCAGAGGTTATTCTACCAGAAGGTCAAGTCTGAAGTGACTGAGTTCTTGTTGTTAATACTATGGAGTCGGTTCCGACTCATAGCGACCCTGCACAGGGTTTCCGAGGCTGCAAATTTATACAGGAGCAGAAAGGCTCATCTTTCTCCCACGGAGCAGCTGGTAGTTTCGAACTGCTGACCCTGAGATTAGCAGCCTGATTCATAACCATTATGCTACCAGAGAAATATGGACCATGTGACTCTCTGCCCCCTTGGGGGACAAATTTGGTACTGCCCATCAATCCTTAGCAAACTGGGGAGGATAAAACAAAATCTGCCACCCCCACACCCATACCAGTCAGGTGGTTTCTGATGCATAGCACCCCCTATAGGGCAGGATAGAACTGCTCTATAGGGTGTCCAAGGCTGCAAAGCTTCACAGAAACAAGCCACCTCATCCTCCTCCCGCAGAGCAGCTGGTGGGTTCGAACCGCCTGCTTTTCAGTTAATAGCCAAGCGCTTCATCACTGCATCACCATACCAGAAATCAGGATTATCTTAAAGATGTGTCAAAAGTTAAACGAGCTTTTAGGTTGCATATAAATCAATTTGACAACGGAGAGAGTTTGAAAGTGACCGATGGCTGCAACTTCAGACTCAACCCTCACGCAGCCTTGAGGGCGGTTCAGGGCCGTGTAAAGTCTCGTTCTGATGTGCATGGGGTTGACCTGGTGGCACCTGACAACAGCAAAGCCGGGAAAACCAGGAAAGAAGACAAGTGTTACATCTGCTTTCTAAAGCCCCATGTGTGGGTCTGAGTGTGCATGTGCTTCTTCATGTTTTATAGCATGATGGCTGACGGAGCGATTTTTCTGCAGACTCTGTCACATGAGACGAATTCTGTGTTCAGGGGTTCTCACTGGAAAAGAGTGACGCTCAGCAGGTATTATTTCCTCCTAAGAATGTTTTCCAGTTCCTCCACACCAAAGTACAACAGAGCACAACTCTAGTCCACACCAGGATCTTGGCATCACTCACCCTGGGTCCCCACAAGAACCAGAGGAATGTCGCTCGTGTTCCGGTAGCTGGCCATCCGGCTGTAGTAATGGTAAACGGTCTGGAAGCTTATTTCGTCCTCCAAGCTGAAGACGAATATAACCGCGTCCACCCACATGGCAAACTGGGGAGAGAGGAAGGGGAGGTGAGCAGGAGACAAGCAGGAGGAGGGCAGAGGTGGGGAATATACCACACCAGTCCCAATCCAGGGACACCGTCCGTCACCCACCTGACGCTAGACTTCGGAAGCTGCTGTCACATCATGAACATCCTAGCCAGACGCCCTCCTGGGCACCCTCTGTGTACCTCACAAACCATGCATGCTTCCCATAGTCACCGCTGTTCCTTCCAGAATATCTACCCTCTGGCTTGGCCAACCCCAGCCCTGAAGACCTAAAGCAAACTATACCTCCACACCCGAGTCTTCCAAACCCCAAGGGTTCTGAGGGTCAGTCAGTGTTCTCTGCTCATTCAACAGCCTTGATTTGAAACGGCCCCCACTCCAACATACCCCTGGGGAGCCTCGTTGGGCTCCCCTGACAGAGACAGGGGGAGGCTACTCTTCTGCACCCGCTCAGCCTCGAAAGAAAGCCCCACTGCCCTGTCCCGATCCTCCCATTTCCCATCCGGAAAACACTTGGCGTGGTGGAATGTTCCAGCATCCCATGAGCAATGACACCTTGTTTTAAGCTCCTTACACACAAGCACACGTGAGCCAAACCCACACGAGCTGACTGCCGCCCTTTCATTCTCCTTTGACCTGGTGGCAATTAAGTCTACACCGATCCTCTTATCTGGTCAATGACCCTACTGTCCGTCCGGCTAGATGGTCTCATTGACTCATGGTGGCCCACATCTCACAGAGGCAAACTGAGCCACACCACGTGACTTTCCTGGCTGCATTCCTTAGGGAAGAGAATCTCTGGGATGAGTTCGAACCGCCAACTTTTCAGTTTAGCAGTTGAGCACGTAGCCATCTGCGACCACCCGGGTGGATACGGAATGGATAAATGCCCACTCCACCCTCACCTCACCATCATTTCCCCTCATCAACCACAGGGGAAGAAAGAAAAGGCCAGTGAATTGGCAGGTTTTTTACACCAAAGTCTCCTCACTTCTCTTGTGACATCTGATGGTGGTGGTTTCTGTTAAAGCACCATCGGGTCAGTTTCACCTCACAGCACACCGTACAGAGTTTCCGAGAAGCGGCTGGTGGGTTTGAACTGCCGATGTTGCAGTTAGCAGTCTAATACTTATCCTACAGAACTCAAGGGCTGGGACGACGGTGCGCACCACATGACCCGTCTTAATGTAAACAGAGGAATCTTGGTGGCACAACAGTGGAATGCTCGGCTGCTGACAGAAGGTCTAAGGTTCAAATCTCCAGAGGGAAGATGTGGTGATCTGTTCCTTCAGAACGACCACCTAGGAATGCCACGGGACAGATCTCCTCTCACAGAGGGTCACTATGAGTCCCCATCGACTCTCTGGGAGGTAGCACCCGGCTGGAGGAGGGGACAGTGGGAGTCTGTCTCTAATGGGGGGACTTTTTAACCTCCGTGTGGATTTGAGGTGGTGTGTGTGTCTGTGTGTGTGTGTGTGTGTGTGTGTGTACATTTCAAATGCAGACCACGTTCATCATATTAACAGTAAGCTAGAGCTGCTCCCTCCTCTACATCATGGCCAAGTAGCCCTCCTAGAAATGCTATCCAACTCCTGAATAGCTCAGTTCTCATGATGCAACAGTTAAGCATTAAGCCACAAACTGAAAGGTCAGTGGTTCGAACTCACCGGCAGCTCATCAGGTGAACGATGTGGCTGGTGGTTCCTGTAAAGGTACCCAGCCTCAGAGACCCTAGCACTGGAGGGACACCATGAATCTGAGCTGACTCGGAGGCAGGGGGTGGGTTTTTGTCTCTCTTACTAACACAGACGAGACAGCACTTAAACTACAACAAACACAGAAGGTCAAAGAAGTCAATCAAACCAGCCACACGGGCGGAAGTTTGCTCTAGGATTTAGAACTCAAAGAACAATTGTTGCTGTTAAGTGCTGTTGAGCCAGGTTCCGACCCACAGCCACTCTGTATAGGATTTCCAAGGAGATGTTGAGCTGGAACCACTTACCTTGCAGTTGAAACCGACTGTGCAGTCCAGTGCATTAACCCTCAGCACTACACCCGGAGTCCAGTAGAATTAGTTTTTTAGAGAAGAAAATACCCTTCGTGGTGGCAAAAAATTAATCTTTTTAAAAATATATATATATTGATTTACTGGGTTTTTATAATCACCTTGTCTTACAATCTTATTTCTAGAACTGTTTGTTGAGATGGAAAGTTGGCACAGAAAACCAGTAGGCTGGTTGTCCTCAAGTGGACTGCCAGGTTATGGTAATCCCAGAGTTTAACTTTGCTCCACAGGGTTTTCAAAAGCTGACTTTTTGGCAGGGGATCACCAGGCCTTTCTTCCGATGTCTATGGGTAGACTCTAACTTCCCAGCTTTCAGTTAGCAGCTGAACACATCCCATCCACTCCAAAGGTAAAAGGCCAGTCAGCCAACTTTGGGTGCAGTACTCACTTGTGCCTCTGGGGGGCCTCCTTCATCTCTAATCAGCAGCAGATAGCTCTGTCCATCAACAACAATCTCTTTCTTGAACCTTCCACCTGCCACACACACAAAACGTCTGGTTACAGGAGAAAAACAACACCGGGAGAGGGCAAACAGACGTGGGCTTCGCTTGTGGAAAAATACACCCGGGCTGTCACGCTGGGGGCAAGTCTGAGGGTTTGGGAGTCTCCAGGCGGCACCAAATCTCAGTGTGTGTTTAAGAACCCGTAATTGTTTTGCATCCTAGATACAGCCTCTCACACAGCGTCAGGACGGCTCAGAGGTGAGACGTGTGGACCAGCCACGGAGACCTTACGGGTCCCTTCATGAATGTGCGGGCCATCCGTCAAAAGCCGGTGTTGTGAGACAGAGCACACTGGAATGTTTCCTCTCTCAGTGGGTCCACAACATGGAAACAAATTGGTCCCTGCTTATTATGGGTGCCTGGTCCCCGTCTTGTAAATCGAGGGGCTGGGAGCCGGTTTTCTCCTCAAGGGAAACCCAGTTCTTGGAGGGGAAACACAGAACATCATGACGGTGGTGTGTACCGAAGTCGGGGTCACAGGGAGGACGTTCAACTACTACACACACGTTAGACAGACTGCTGGACGGACCCCGCATGGGGGTAGCAGAGCGGTGGGCTGAGAGCGGATGTTAGAGACCATGGGTTAGCAGGGCACTGGGATCCAGGGACAGTACGGGCCGAGCTCGAAAACGGGGGTCTGAGGGGCTGCCTAGCCACCTGTCATTCACCGCTGCAGGACACCCACCTGCCAGGCCAGCTCTGGACCCTGGAAGTATCCCCCGCTTCTAGAAGACTGCCACCCCCACAGACAAAAGTCCCTTCCGAGGCCTGGACCCTGAGTCCACCCCCACTGACACATGGGGGTCCCGAGTCCACCTCCTCCTGACATGTGGCGTCCTGTGTCCAATCCCTGACACGTGGGGCTCAAGTCCACCCTCCTCTAAGACACAGGGTTCCAAGTCCACCCCCTTCTGAGAAAAGGGGTTCTGAACCCACTCCCTCTGACACACGGGGTCCTAAGTCCACCTCTCATGACACATGGGATCCCAAGTCCAAACCCCAATATGTGGGGTCCCAAGTCCACCCCCTCTGAGACAGAAGGTCCTGAGCCCACCCCTCTGGCACATGGTGTCCCCCTCAGAGAAAAGGAGGCCTGAGTCCAGCCCCTATGACACACAGGGTCCTAAGTCCACCCCTCTGACATGTGGGGTTCCGAGTCCATCCCATCTGAAATGCTGGATCCTGAATCCACCCCAGTCTCAGAAGACGAGGGTCCCAAGTCTACTCTCATGGACCCTGGTGGGCTCCTGGGTCCCTAGAGGATGGCAAATCCTTACTCCTGTACCACCAGCTGCACCGAAACCTCTCAGGACCATCTGACCCCTGCTGGACCCTGGACAACAGCTGAGTGGCCTCAGTGCCTGAGCTGGCCTGCTGCCCAGAGCCACATGCACACAATCCTCCACAGCAGCTGCCTATTGAAGGGAGGGACCTGACTAGAGACTGCTGGGCCTGAGTCATCCACCTGACAGACAGCTCTGAGGTCCCCCATACACTGAGAGGGGAGGGGAGGGCTGGCTACGAAACTAAAAGTCAGACGCCATCATTGTAGGTCACATAGGAGAGGGAACACATACACGCTCACATCCGCTCACACGGGCATCACATGTGTTCACTTGGGCCCACACACACTTACACGCACCCACACACATGTAACATGCATACAAATTTGCTTCTTCATGTACAATCACTCAGAATGGCCCACATGTACCTCAGCTCACATGCACAGACATACATATGCTCACACTGACTGAACACATGAAGTATGTGTGCTTTAGGAGATGTTTGCTCCAAACTCCAAAACTCTCCAACATCAAAATAAAAAAGACACATTCTTAGCCCAGCTGCCCATCCCCCCAAAAAACAAGGGTAGAGTTGGGTGGGGACCCCGCCGTGTCAGTGGGAAAGTTCAGACACAGCAGGAACGAGCATCCACGTCACCGCCTCCTAGCAGGGCTGGTCCTGCTGCACATGGAGGGACACCCACCACACCTACCCGAGGGCCACTGTCAGAAACAACGTGGCGATTACAGGAGTGGAGTCCTGCCGTGGCACTGTGGGTCAGCACTGGACTGTGAACCACAAGGTCGACAGTTCAAACCCACCAGCTGCTCCTCGGAAATTCTATACAGGGTCACTATGAGTCGGAATCGACTCGACAACACTTAGCAACAATAACGACATACATTGAGCTGGAGGCCTGGTGTGGCGCTGTGGGATAAAGCAGTGAACTGCAAGATTGGTTTGAACCTAAGGTCAGTGGTTCAAACTCAACAGCTACTCCTTGGAAACCCTAGGACAGAGTCCCTATGAGTTGGAACCGACTTGATGGCACTTGAGAACAACACACATTTAACACTGAATAAGACAGCTTACAAAGGGACAAGCTGCCAGAGATGCAACAGAAGTGAATGCACCTCATCTCCAAACACTTTCACAAGCAATCATTCTCTGCTTTGAACTCTGGGTTGATAGCACGTGTGAGCAGTAATGGAATCCAGACCCAAAGCCACTGCTATGGAGCTGATTTTCCCGCAAAGCATGGCTATCTATAAAGGGTTTCTTAGACCATCAATCTCTATGGGAACAGACAGCATCATCTTCCTCCCTCAGAGCGGCTGGTAGGTTTGAACCTCCACCTTGCAGTTAGTAGTCCAATGCTTAACACACACTACCATCATAGCTCCTTTCATTAATGGAAGGCATGTTGATCTCAAGGGGGAAATTAAAAAATATGAATTCCCATACAATTATATGGGACACATATGTCCCAAGGGGACTCTGATGTGAGGGCTGGTGGGATGAGGCCTATTTTTGCAGATTCACGCAGTTTTATAGATTCCACTCCCCACCAGGGGCAGCATGTACCATAACTGGGACAGAAGCTTCCCAGCAAACCCTAGGCTAAAAATGCTAGCGGGTGGTACTCAAAGAAGGCTTCAAAAAGTTCATGGAAAAATGTAGTTAAAAAGGGAATTTTCCATGGAATGTTTTCAAGCTCCTGCCTATGCCCCCTGGCTCACTAAAGGGTTCAAGAGGTGGAAGACTCATGAACCAGTATCAACCAAAATGAAAATCTAGAGCAACCATAACATTTGCAAAGGAAACTTACTCTTTGGGGGAAAACACTTTTCTTTTTACACTGTGTTCCTAGAGATTAGTCGTGCTAACCAGGGACAAGTGAAGAGCAACAGGATTTGGTGCAAACATTTAAAAAGCTTCCCAGTGAGACAATTCCCAGTGTCTCCATGTCCCAGTTTTCATTCTCTGGGCACTGTGATTTAGAAGGGTGACCGCTCTGGAGCTACCAGAAAAGCAGTTAGCCTAAGATTCAATCTGCTGAAGAGAATGCAAATGTTTAACGTCCCCAAATGACAGGAAACTATTTGTTTTGGAATTGTTTCAATGATTTCAAGGTAGTACACAGAACTCTGAAAACAGTGGGGTGGGCTTCAGGTCCTGCCCAGACTGTAAGCATCTTTCAGGAGCAGACGCTGTTCTGTGGGGTGAAGAATGGTAACGTGTCCTCAGGGGGAGGAGGGTTCTTGTCAGGACCCCTGCCATAGAGTCTATTCTGACTCATAGTGACACCACAGGATGGAGTATAATCTTACTGCCGCATCTGTTCCCCTTGGAGCGGGTGGCTGGTGGGTTTGAACTGCCAACCTTGCAGTTAGCAGTTCAGCACTTGACCCACGGTGCCGCCAGGGTTCCTTGCAATCTCAGCAGGCTCTCAATCTGGCGGTAAGCAAGATGCTCCCTGCTTTCTGAAAGCTCACTTTATGCAACTTCGTTTTTATGAAAGACCTATGAAAGTATCTGTTTTCACAAACTCAAAGAAATTCAACGAGGATTTTCACTTTTTCGAAAACAAGCAAATAAAAAAGCCCAAACTAGTGTCCCGCATTTCTTTCGCAGGAGTTTTAAGAGCAGTCTGCATGCATCCCGAGCAGGGGGAGTGGCGCCCTCTAGCTCCAGCCCGGGGAACTACACACGACATCTCAGCACCCAGCAACCACAGCTGTGCGCCCCTTCTGTGAACGCTGTGTAGTCGTGTGTGTGTGTGTGTGTGTGTGTGTGTGTGTGTATGTGTGGCTTTAGTTAGATGTGCTATTTGGTATGATTTGGTAAATTATGTTTTCAGTCTGGAATTTCTAAAAAAAAAAAAAGCCCCCCTATAAATGAACGGTAGTTGTTTCTTTACTCTAAGCCATTTCAACTTCCAGAGATTTCACAGGACACTCTTACTTGTTACTAGTGGGTAGGGGGCCTTGTATTCTCCTGTTGTAAAGTGGCCAAGGAGGCTGCCCTTATTCAACTATGTTCGCTTCCTGCAGCATCTGCCCTTATACCGATACCATGTACTGTTGGGTGCCATCGAATTGATTCCAACTCAGCCACCCTACGCACAACAAAACAAAAACACTGCCCAGTCCTGAGCCATCCTCACAATCATTATTAACTTTGATTCAACCCATTGCTGCCGTCACTACGCCAGTCCATCTCCTTGGGGGTCTCCCTCTACTTTACCAAGCGTGATGTCCTTCAAACCAGGGACTGGTCCCTCCTGAAAAGTTATTTTTATTATTTTTTAATGTACTGCAGGGTATGACTGACAGTGGGCTACACTAGACTCTAACTCCAGGTCACCCGCATTTTGTGATGCCTCACAGAGACTGTGTGCTTTACAGATTGAAGGTTTGGGGTCACCCTGGCACGAGCAAGTCTATCAGCATCAATTTTACAACAGCCTGTGCTCACTTGTGTCTCTGCGTCCCCCTGAAGCCATTCTCACGACACATCAACTGTGTTCATCCTCCTAGTTCACAATTCACAGGCGAGAACGTCCATATCACTTTTCTGTGCACGGGGCAACCAAGCGATGCGGGTTACTCGTTTTACTGAGACATACTGGGCTAGTCTGAAAGCGAACACACACTATCTCTGAGGGCTGCATAGGTACTAGAACAT